CCACCTCCCCCCTCTGTGCCTCCTCCGCCTCCACCTGTCGCTCCTGCGACCACAGTCAAGAGCCCACCTGATAAAGATTTACCTCGTAATTATGAGCAGGAGCTAGAGTTTGAGGCAGAGTGGGACAAGCATCACTGTGAGCTGGATGACTCAGTCTCAGACGATAAGAAAGGTTTGCTCACAGCTGCCCAGCTTTTACAACTGGATGCAGGTGCTCAGCCAAAAGTGAAAACAACTTCATATTTCATTTGCTGGAGGCTCAAACTACCTGTACTGGGCTGAACCAAGTAAAAAGGAAGGATTAAAGGAATTTCTCAGCAACTGCCAATAATTCTTTATCTTAAAAAATCTTTTTCTTTCCCTCCCAGGCCACCAGAAACTCTTAGCTAGTTAAATTTCTTTCTATGTGTCTGTATTGTAACTTTAATTTGCTTTTCTCTGATTTATGATTTTATTGTGCTGTGTTAAAATTTTAAGATTCTAAGATTAATTTGAAAGTGTAAAATCTGTAAAAATTGCAATCCAGGGAAGTTTAAACAAAGGCCAGTTAATTCCAAGCATGCCTGTGATGCATAAACTCGCACAGGCTAGCCCCGGAGATGCGAGGCATGTAAATGGATGAGCGGTACACGTGGCTGATAAGACAGGTTCTAAGAAAATTACCTTACCAGTGGTCGGCAAACTGTGGCTCACGAGCCACATGCGGCTCTTTGGCCCCTTGGGTGTGGCTCTTCCACAAAATACCGACTTCTGTGCATGGGCCACAAAGTTTCAATCGCACTGTACGTGTGCGCCCACACCTGGTATTTTGTGGAAGAGCCACACTCAAGAGGCCAAACAGCCACATGTGGCTCGCCAGCTGCAGTTTGCCGACCACTGGCCTAGACAGAAGGGAGTAACTAAAAAAGGTCCCAGTCCATTGACTAGTCTTTTGGTGGTTCTGTAAAATGGATGCCCACTCCCAGGAGTGTTATTAAAAGTCTCATTTTGCCATGTTTTTATTTCCCAGTTCATCATTTGAAATTTGGATAAATGAGACATTTCTCACAATTTAGGGATATGTTTGGGATTTCTGTACTCATGAAAAGATAAAGGCTAGATTAAGAGAAATGGTGCACCCCACCCAATTTTTGGTGGCTCTTGAACGGCGCCCCATATCTCTTCATGGATGCTATAGAACAGTGTTTCTCAACCTTCCTAATGCCATGACCCTTTAATACAGTTCCTCATGTTGTGGTGACCCCCAATTTCATTGTTACAAATTGAACATAATTAAAGCATAGTGATTAATCACAAAAACAATATGTAATATATATGTGTTTTCCGATGGTCTTAGGCAACCCCTGTGAAAGGGTTATTCGACCCCTAAAGGGGTCGCGACCCACAGGTTGAGAACCACTGCTATAGAATAAACCCAAGACAGTTTTTCTTTAAAGGATGGCAAAAATGACACAAGGAAAATATACAGGCTGGACTTAGGCAAAAAGATTAGTGTTTCCATAATAATGGGTAGCTCTTGAAGAATAATGGTCTGCATTCCAAGGTTGCCTCACAGGTCCCGGGCACTCCTGTTTTTATAAAGGAAAATAAAATAAAATAATAAAGTGACTGAAAGTCAGTAAGTTATCTTTGTTATAGAACTGGCCAAAGAAAATGCCTTGGATAATAATAATTGGCTTTAAAATCTCAAAGTTGTTAAGGCTGGGGTCCCAGGTGCCTGTGGGCAGCCGGGGGTTGGGGGTGGGGAAGCTGGCCTAGGTTCCAAGTGCCTGCTGGCAGACGGAGGAGGGAAGCATCCCAGGTCCTGGGTGCTGGAGGGAAGCCGGTGCTGGCAGCCGGGGTAAGGAAGGCCTACTCTTGCACGAATTTTCATGCATCGGGCCTCTAGTATGATATAAGAAAACTGATTCTAAACTCAGCACTCCTAAACTGCTTTGTCTAAGAAGCAGATCATGGTAACCCTGTTTTCATTTCCAGTGATTTGCTTAGAAATGTACAAAATACAGTTTTGGCAAATAAAACCTAAAGAGAATTCTAATGGGGCATTTCTGAGAAAAGTTTCCTCACTCTTAAGAAAGCGACACCAGAGAAAAGGTTCCTCCTTCCTCCTTCAATGCAGCTTCTTTGGCCGCGGGGCACTCAGTCTTTCAGAAAATTGCTCACAGAAGAGACAGAGTGAGAAGCTGAGATCTTGATGAGGTTGGGGAGCTGTGACTGGAGTCTGCCTTATCTCTGGACTTGTCACGTGAGCTGATAAATTTCCTTATTGTTTAAACCAGTTTATCAGCATTTTGCTTTTGTGTTCCTGAGCATCTGAACACCTATAGAACTATTCTTTCCTGATAACCTTTCACTTTATTTGGCTGAATCTTTTTGCTAATGTCTAAGTTATACAAGAACTCTGTTGGATAATTATTCTGTCTGTTGTTTTTTTAGAGCTCTAAACATTGCTTAATTTGGTATAACTTCAAAAATCACTAATAGATGCTGAGCATGTGTGCTGCAAATGGGTTACAGGGTAATGAGATGCTGACTCCTTTGGTTCTTGGGATGGCTGAGTAGAGTCTGGCATAGCTGGAAACCTCTTAGTGCTCGTTGTGTCCTGGCAGCAAACAGCATCCTCCATTTCTTTAAGAGTCCTGAACAAATGTTTTCAAATGTGTACACTGAATGAATGTATTGTTTATTGCTTATTTCAAAATAATTAGAAAGATTATTTAATAACGCTAAACCTGAAGTTGACAGGGAATATCAAGAAATTAAGTTGGCGTATCACTTGACTAATGGAATAGCTGTCTAGTACTAGCCTGACGTTAGTTGTATTTCTCTTTACTCCATATCCGTCTCACAGATTATTGTCATTGATCCTAATGTCCCCGTGGAAACAGGGAAGCAACAACAAACTTCAGAGCTCTGGTTTAGAACACAGACCCCCTGAGTTCCAGTCAATGTCTGCCACTGGACTGTGAGTAAATCCTCCAACCTATCTAGACTTCAGTTCCCTCACCAGGCAAATTGAGGCTTGGATTAACTCATTCATGGCATACCAATTGCTTTATTTTGATGGGGAAAAAGCTCCTGTATTAATTGATTAGCAAGTTTGTTGCTTTTTTAAAATAAATGCTGTTTGTTATTCAGGGAGCTCATATTTTTCTTTTTATGCTGTTTATTATGTTATACTTAGTCTTCCAATTTTTTTGGTTTTCAAATGTTAAATGGTAAAAAGCAAGGATTCTGAAATAGTAAATGGGTATAGTAGATAATGTCTCTCTATTGCCTCTGATAGTCAATAGTAACTTCTTAATAATTTAAAGTATTATGCCCTTAAACTAAAGAGGAAGTTCTGTGTGGGAGGACTGAACCATGATGGGTTTCAGTAGTGAAATTGGCTTTATGAAATCAAATGTAAAATGTTATCGAAGAAAGAAAAGCAAAAACCATAATAAAACAAAACAAAATTCATTATTATTTGAGGGGAGGTAGAATCCTGAAACATTTTAAGTTTGTATACTTTTATCTCCAATCCCAAACCCAAACCACAGGTCTTTAAATGCTCCTTAATATCTCTCTCTCTCTCTCTCTTTCTCTCTCTCTCTCTCTCTTGCCTCCCTCCCCCTCTTTCTCCTTCCTTCCTTCCCTCCTTCTCCCTCTCCCTCTTGGCAAAGAGAGGATAAAGAAATAATCGTCTCTTTGCCAAAGAAATCACTGAAAGACATGATTATCCACCTATATTTACTAGTGCCACAGTGAAGCATTTTTATTGCAAGTCTCTGTGGAAATGAAATATTTGACAAAACTCAGGATAAGGTGTTCCACACTTAAAAGCACGATAGACTCTCACTTATAGGCAAGGTGAGGGGATTTAACAAGCGGTGGAGTTTTAAAAATCTCTGATACTAAGAACTTTGGTTGCAAAAATAATTCCGAAGGGCCTTAAATACAGGGAAAAGCCTCCTATCTAAGCAATTACAATGTGTGGGGTACTTTTAACAAAATCCAGCCCTGCATATACTATGTAATATCTGAACACTGATGCACCACCGGGTTCACTTCCTATTTTCAGTTAAGTTCCTTTGGGTGGGGGTTGGGGGAAGCCTAAGGGCTGAGATGATCTTTAACAGCGGCGAGAGAGCAGCTTTGAGGTGTCATTTGATGAAGACACCTTCCCTGTCCTGATCACAAACACGTTGTTCAATATAGAGATGTTCTCTGGGCCGGCGTTCCACATTGCCAGTGAACTAGAACTCTGAATACCGTTGCATCCACTCCCATATCAATTCGAAAATTATTTATTGCAGTTATCTGGGAATACAACCCTTATACAGATAATGACCCTATCTGTTTCATGCCGCTTCAGTTCTTGAGAGGGAGGTTGATAATAATAAAGCAACAAACAAAAACATTGTTTAATTTACAGAGTAATGAATGCTCTAAGAAAACTAGGCAGTAGACCATGTTTCTGCTTAATTTCGATTGTGTGGTCAGGGAAAAGCTCTCTGCAGAGGTGACATTTGAGGTGAGACCTAAAGGACCAGAAGGAACCAGCAGGCAGAGTACCAGGCAAGAACAGTTTTTGCAGGAGGAACATGCTGGATGGAAGTTGGCTACTTCCAGGAACTGCAAGCAACCCTTTGTGGCCAGAGCAGCGAGCACGTGTAGGAGAGATGAGGTCCCAGGGCTAAAGAGTTTCGCTTTTATTCTAAGCGCAATGGTTAGCCATTGGAGGTTTTAAAGTGGAGTAGAAAGTGCGTGAGTGGATACAACTGACATGTCATAGGCAATATTGCACTTCGATTTATTTATTTATTTTTTACTTCTTTGACATCTAATTTCTAATTCCCATGCGGGGCCAGGGACAGCCGGCCGCCCGTGTACCAGGCTGGCTGCGCTTCCGCCGGCGTGTGTGCAGCCCCGTCCTGCGCCCGGCGGCTGACAGCCTGGGCGCAGCCGGTGACAGTTGGCAGGCGCCGTGAGGCTCCGCATCCATCCCCAAGACTTGCCAGGTCTGCCCGGATTTGACATCGCAAACAATGGTATCGAGGGGCTGGAGGCAAAAGCGCAAGTGCCGGGGGTCAGGGGTGACGAAGGGAGCTTCCGCTGCTCGGTCTAGCTCCGCCCGGCCCGGCGGCGGCACCCCCGGAGCCGCAGGTGTTGATCTGGGGCTC